TATAAGTTTATTATTTTAATGAACTTCTCTTTATTGAATGCATAGAACAAATTTGATGGTCAAACAAGCTATACACAAAAGTAATTTAGTATTAACCTCTGTGAAACTATTATTCAACTCTTGAAGCTGAGTACTATGTAGAATATATTAACTCATTTATTATTTAGATTCAGAGTGATAATTTGTATTCAACATAAAATGAAGTCACTTTTTTAATGAAGTCATCTCACTTTTGATCTCTTATATCTTGTAATTTAATTTTTGATATTTGAACTAAGAACGTGGCATTCATGATGTCCTGATCTTTTCTTTGCAAAGCATCTGATAGTTCAACAGTGATTCCAAGTATATCATTCATTAAGTGCAAACAAAAAAAGAAGTCAAAAGATTGCATTGAATCTAATAATGCAAATGCTTCTCCTCTCTACTCAAAACTTATGTCATCCTCTAAAACTATTTCAAGCACATTAATAACTGAGAAGAACATTGTAATTAATCTAATCAGTGACTCATAATAAGAACCCCATTTTGTTTCACCGGTACTTTATAAAGATATTCTTAATTTAATCTTCGTCCAATAAACACCTCACCATTTTGTAATGCACTTAATGCTATATTGTGTTGTTTATCTCTTAGTTGATCACGACGTTTGCTTGAAACATCAACAATATTCATCACGTTTGAAATTATAATAAACAATAGTGCAATCTGAATATGATCATTCACAAATGCAACTAATACTTACTGAAGCTGGTGTGAGAAGCATTTAATATAATATGCAGATTTATTTTCATTTAGAAAAAGTGCTTTTAGGCCATTAAATTCTCCACTCATATTGCTTGCGCCATCATAACCTTGATCACGAATTTTAGAGTGAGACAAATAGTAATTTGAGAGGACTTGTTCAACTCTTTTTTTGAGACATCGAGCTAAAGTTTCAGGAGCATGAAAAATACCCAAAACACGTTCAATAATTTGGCCTTTCTCAGTCACATATCGTATAACGACAGCTATTTGTTCTTTCCCTGATACATCACGAGCTTCATCAACGAGAATAGAGAAGAAACTGTCACCAACTTCTTCTTTTATTTAGTCTATAATAGCAATGGAAATGGCTCTACAAATATCTTTTTGAATATAATGAGCAGTCAATTTCAAATTCTCAGGAGCATTCTTTCGTACAACATTACTTTATATCTTCATTATTCTTTATTAAAAATTGCAATAACTCAACAAAATTTCTTTGATTTTTGAAGTTAAAAGTCTCATTATGCCCTCTAAAAGCTAATCCTTGAGTTAGAAGGAATTTTACACAACCAACAGAAGAATTCAAGGGGACACGATATGCATTTGTATCTCGATCAAACTGCACCTTGAAGGAAAATTAAATATGTTGATCTTGTTTCATTAAATTATCGCAATTTCATTTTGTATTATTATGAGTTTATGACCACTATTATGTTCTCCTATATTAAGGTCAAACCTATCTGATTTTTTCTAATTCGAGAATTCATTTTTTCGAAATGCCTCGTAACCTTGTTTTCTTCTTCCTTCTATTCCAAAAAGATAGGGGTGTCAATTTTTGACACGACACGAAACACGACCCGAACCCGACCCGGAAAAATCCGGGTTCGGGTCAACCCAAACCCGAAACGGGTCGGGTTCGGGTTCATGAAATCAACCCGTTTTAAAAATCGGGTCGTGTTCGGGTTTACCCGCCAACCGAAATTGACCCGAAAGTGACACGAAAAATCATTTTTGACCCGAAAACCCGGGATTGACCCGATTTTTGACCCGAAAACCCGAGATTGACCCGATTTTTGACCCGAAAATTAGCAATTTTGGGTCAATCCCGGGTCATTCGTGTCGGGTCGGGTTGACCCGGACCCGAATCGGGTCGGGTTCGGGTCCAGAAACCTGACCCGTTTTTAAAAACGGGTCGGGTTCGGGTTTACCCGAACAGTACCGGGTCAGTTCCGGGTTCGACCCGAACCCGACCCGTTGACCCGAATTGACACCCCTACAAAAAGATAACAATATAAACAGTATGTTTTATCCGTCTGAATACTATACTTTAATCAATTGGAGTATCTATCAAACCATGTTGGATTGAAACGTCTATCTTTCATCCCAAATTTACTTTTAAGGAAGATATGATTGTAAGGTTGACATAACCTTTTTTTGTAATTATGATTTTCAAAATTGAAGATTCTCTTGATTTTTTACCGTACTTTTTGATGATTCACCATATGTTTGAATTCTTTTTTGTTTTGTTCATCATCTTTATCTTTTGAATCCTCTATTGATGTTGATACACAAGATTGTGAGGACTTCTTAAAATATTTTTTCATAATCTTTGTGCAAATTCAAACTAGTAAACTACACAAAACATAAAAACAATAAACTAAATATTAAGAAGAAAAAAAGAGTTTAAAGTACTTGCCTTTAAAATAAACCAAGATATGGAGAGTTATCTCTTTGTTTATTCGGTTTAGTTGGAAATGAATATTTTCTATGACCATTTGAGTTTCCTCTTGATATGAGTGGATTAGAAAAATGATCTCATTTTTTTCTACACATAGAATGATTGAAATTATATTAAATTAAAATTAATAATAAATGTAAAAATTAAAATTACTAATTACTAATTAATTTAAAGTGGAAAATAATTAAATTAAAGTATTATCATTAAAATTTAATTAAAACAAATTAATAACTTAATAATTTATTAAAATTACTAATCAATGAAAAGAAAATTTTAAAATAAATTAAAATTTAAATAATAATTTTAAATTTAAATCATTAATTAAGGAAAAAAGTTAACTTAAATTAGTTAATATAATTTTTAATCTTTTTTTGTTAAATAATTTGAATAGTTAAATTTTTAATCATTTTATTTAAATTATTTAAAAGCCTTCGGAAAATTCCGTCGGTAATGGATGATTTTCTTGTAGTGGCTTTTTAATATTCATCCTTAATACACTTCACTTGAACTAAATCCTTTCTACTCCTATCTATTTGTTTGGCTAACTTATACATATACTTTTCTCCCTCATTCGTATCTAATATATTATATAAGATTATAAATCATTAAAAACTAAGATCTTTGCATCGCATGTTGCTTTTTTAGATTTCCTACGTGCCTCTTTATATCTTTCTCAATTATCAAAATGTTTACATTTAATCCAATTTTTATAACAAATCTTCTTATTTTTTTTCTTTTTTTGCACATTTGGATTTCACCACCGACTATTTTTATTATTAGGAGATTTTCCCTTTTATACTCCAATCATATCTTTTGCTATATTCTTAATATCACTAATCACTTTTTTCCACAACATTTTCATCCTAATGCATAGACAAAGTCTTAAGATATAAAATCTTATTCTTAAAAATATTTTTGTTAATATTCTATAAATGCCCCAATCAAAAATATTTTAATGATGGTGATTTTTTTGGAACTTAAAAAAACAATAATATTAATAATAATAATCAGGACGATTGTTAACCTATGCATATTATGCTTTTTAGCTGCATCGTTGTGGCTTCTTAGTTACACATCATTGAAAGAATCTCACAAACTGTTTTGGACTGGTTGAGTGAATTGTCATATCATATCGGATTGAGAAATATGGTCTATGAACGCAGGGAAAAGTAAATGAGAAACAAGTACAAGAAAACAGAACCTTATTGTGCTGCAGGTTACTTGCACTATCAACTTGAACTTAGTGAAATGTTCATTGAAATTATATGCTGTAATGTTTTTGATGATCTTTTCACTAGATAGGATGTCATTAAGATTTATGAGAAAATTAGCAAGGTTCAGCGATTGGGATACAAAATCATAAGGAGCATGTGAATTTTATAATGCAGTTCGTAATTAGCTTCAAACTAAGAAATTGAATGTAATATATAAGCATCTTGCAAGTTGAACAGAAAATGTGTTCATTAGGTCACCTTGTATGCCACCTAGTAAAAGGGTATTCCGTGAGTGCTTAAAATGCACATGCTATTAATATAAGCACTGATTGTATGGGCTTGACTGCAAAATGCCTAATAATGATTTTAGTCCCGGTTCCTCTGTAGTTATACTCAGCCAACATAGGATCCAAAGGATGTTCTTAGGTACTTATTGTTTATACTTCTTAAAAGTTTTAATGGCATTCTTGTGACTTGGCATAGCCAACTTTTCATAAATAGATGTCAGCTTGTCTAGAGCCAATTCTCTTCCCCTCACCCTCTCCAAAATCATAATTGAGCGCACATCCCTTTTCTCTGCCGAATAGATCTAAGAGATTTGTCACATATAAGAATTCAACTTAAGCTTAATTTGGGATGACTTTTTTACTGCTTCTTGAAGGAGTTTTTTAGTTAAAAATTTAAATTTTTTGTACTAAAAAGTTGCTTCAAAAAGCAGTAAAAAAGCCGTCCCAAACGAAACCTTAGAATATCCTGAATCATTTCCAAACAAACACTGGAAACTAACCTAAACGAGATTGTGAGCTAAAGCTAGAAGGTGAGAGCTTGTTCAGTCAGGAGCTTGGGAGAAGGTTAACTGTTCTAGAGCTGGTTAATGTTATCAGGGAAGAGGCTGCTAGCATTGGTTGCTGCTGAAAGATTTAATATCCAAATTTTTTATAAAGAAGTGACATGAAACTTCAGTTTATTGATGAGTTGAAGCATTTAATCTTAGATAGTGTATGAACATTTGAGCTTTATTTGAAATAAACACTATGTTTGAAAGAAGCTTTCAACTTTGAAAAAAGGCCATTATTGTTGAATTTCCTTCTTCCAATCAAATGATCTATCTGTACATGCTTGGTATCGAGTTTTATTGTTGCTTTGTTTCTTGTCTTGATGAAGATGACTAATTATTTTACTGCTGTTATCATTTTTTATATAAAGTTGGTTTTTGACTCATCATTTTACCAAAAGCATCTAGCTTTATGAGAATCATGTTTATCTCTTAAAAATCTTACAAGATTGTTGAAACTACGCAGATAGTGCTGGACTTGGATGAGACTCTAGTATGTGCATATGAGGCATCCAGCTTACCTGATATAGTTCGGATTCAGGCCATAGATGCTGGTCTTAAGTGTTTTGAGCTAGAGTGCAAAACTGTGGACAAGGTTCTGCCTAGAAATTTTCAGCTTCAATCATTTACTATCTAATAGATTTCGTAAAAATGACACTTGTTTGAAATTAAAAAAAAATAAAAAATCTTCTTGTGAAGGATGCTGAAGGGAGAGAAAAAATCAATCATGTAATTGTGTTTGAGCGTCCCGGGTTGGAGGACTTCTTAGAACAGACTAGCAAATTTGCGGATCTTGTTCTTTTCACTGCTGGGCTTGAAGGTCTTATATTTTTCCGCTCCAGTTTTTTCCATAAACTTCTGTATTTAATTTCTATCACATCATGCTTCCTAAATTTGATGGTGGTTTTAGGTTATGCCAGACCACTTGTTGATGTTATAGATGTCAACAACAGGTTCAGTCTCCGTCTTTACCGCCCTTCGACCGTTACTACGTATGTAATCTTTCCCTACTATTTCTACAAGAAATTGGTTCTAACAGAGCATCATATCGAAATATATGATCTACATAACTTTCTTTTTCCTTTTATATTTTGTTGAGTTTATAGCTATCTACAAAGAATGAAATGCATATTCTAATTTTATATGTCAATATACAAAAAAATAATCAGTCTTGGGATTGCATGATATTCTCACTGAAATTCTTTTTGTATGTTTTCTTAGTTTTCCTAATTCCCATTTCTGTGTGCTGTTTCTCATATTCACGAGTATTAACAATTACAATATTCATTCTCATTGCATAAAAGGTTTGTTCTCATGGAGGTAACTCTTGAATTCCATTGGAAAAATTGTCTAGTCTTATATTTTCCAGATAATTACGTGGACTACTTTCAAATTGAAGTATTGTACTTTGTAATGTAGACTTGGTAGATAAATCGTAAGTAATACATATTTGGCATGACTAAAACTTGTCATAAACTTCGTGAAGGAATATAAATACTCTTGTTCATTTTCCTGTTGAAATTTTAGGGATTTACATAGATACATGTAGTTCTTATCTAATATATTCTTAACATCTAAAATTTTATATTTACATGTATAACACTCTATTAGCTAAATCACATCAAAATATATACATGAAACTATGTATTTCACTTAATATAAGCTAATATTAGTGATATTTTTGGTGTTATTTGAGTAAATAAAAAATATTTCTATATAAAAATACATATAAGAATTATGTGGTTTGTATGCAAATTTCCCGTAATTTTTTGCAGGGCTAATTATTCTACTTAGGCTTCGTTTGGGACGGCTTTCTTATTGCTTCTTAAAACAACTTTTTAGTATAAATTTTTTATTTTTTTACTAAAAAACTGCTTTAAGAAGCCGTAACAAAGCCGTCCCAAACCAAGCCTTAATTTCCTTTTGATCCTACAATGTTTTTCCAATGTTTGTGTTGCTTTAAGTTCATTGAACAAAATATTACAAAGTACCTGCCTTTATCTTCAGCGTTATCCTTGCCTTAAACCTAAACTACTACATATTACCAGATCTCTGATATTAATCTTGGCTATTTATGAATCAGGGAATATAGACACCACGTGAAGGATCTCTCCTGCCTATCAAAAGATTTATGCCGAATCGTAATTGTGGATAACAATCCCTTCAGTTTCTTGCTGCAGCCATTGAATGGAATACCCTGCGTTGCATTTTCTGCAGCCCAGCCCTTCGATGAGCAGGTGATCATAACAAATCTACACAATTTCATCTGCATTGAGAATATACAAATAATGAAATAAACTAGTGAATGATCTAAATGGTCCTTAGAATTTTATGTGTGTTCATTTTAGTCCCTCAATTGATTAAATTTAAACCTATTTATCATATCATCAATTTTTGTAATTATTTTGGAAGAAGATTGGCGGAGAAAAGCTTTTCTTGAGGACTTTTCAGACTTTTTGAAGTCAATTCTATTAATTTGAGCTAGTATTAAGTAGTGGGATCAACTCTAAAACCAATTTCTATAAAAAAAAAGGATAAAGTTGGGGTGGGACCAAATTGTTTTAAATTTAAAAGAGATTAAGGTTTTATTTGGGACATTTTTTACAGCTATTTTTTTGCGGCTTTCAAAAAATTAGTAAGAAAATTGTCTTAAACAAAGCCTAAGATTTCGTTTGGGACGGCTTTCTTACTACTTCTTAAAGCAGCTTTCTAGTTTAAAAATTATTATTTTTATATTAAAAAGCTACTTTATGAAGCAGAAACAAAGCCATCCCAAATGAAGATTAACTTAAACATCTAAAATAATTAAGGGACAAAACTAATCCACCTTAAAAGGTTAGAAACTAGTTTGATTATTAACTCATAAATAAAATCATTTTTTTGTTTATTCATTGGCAAAAATTATTAAAAAATTAATATTATCTTGATACAAATTGTATTAGGATAAACTTCAAAATTATTAAATTTGCAATACCAACTCTGTATATACAATTCTAATCTCAAGATAAATTCAATAATGTTTAACCCCATCTTAATATAATTTGTATTGTGATATCTTGAATTTTTTTTTTTTGTTTATTAATCTGAATCTGATCCTTTACTCTTTTTTTTGGTCTTTCATCTTTCAGCTCTTGAAGGTTGTTCTTCCACTTCTGAAGCAGCTCTCTCTTGAGAAGGATGTGAGGCCTGTTCTGTACAAACAGTTCTACATGCCTGAGTGGTTTGAAAAGCATGGAATCCCATCTGATAGTCAGAGTCCATGATACTAATGAGTTCTCCCAAAGTACCTTTTTTGTACATTATTACTATATTTTTTTAGGATTTCTTCAAGGAAAAAAGATAGTCGCATGGTGTGATTGAACTCTCTATTCTGCAGTGAACTGGTTGGCGTTGGATGGAAATTTTTTGTAGAATTGTAAGCATTCAAGCATGTGAAAAGCAGGTGTGGGTGATTTTCTTCTCATTTGTGAGATTTTCTTAATGGTTTCAGAAGTCTTTTTGTTGCTTGTAAATAGAAAACTTGTTTTAGACATTAATGTTTTGGTTTTTTGTTTTTTATTTCATTTGGTTTTTTGTAAGGAAACAATTATATTTGGGTTTTAAAAGTATTTATGAAGCAATGCATCATATGAAATAATATTAAAATTTTTCTGGGATCGAGTAAATGGTTCAAGGAAGTTTATTCCTTCCTCTCACCCATGCTCGGTGCATTAACAAACAAATTTGATTTTATATGCCTCATTATTATTTTAAGATTGTATTTGAGATACTTCTCTGACTATTTTTAAAGCAGTTTTTAAATACAAAAATTTTTGTACTAAAAAGTTGCTTTAAAAAGTAGTAAGAAAGTTGCCCCAAATGAAGCATAAGGTTTCGTTTCATTTGGGGCGGCTTTCTTAGTGTTTCTTAAAATAATTTTTTAATGCAAAAAATTTAATTTTTATATTAAAAATTTGCTTTAAGAAGTAGTAAGAAAGTTGTCCCAAACGAGGCCTAATTTGGTTGAATATTGTGATAAATTAACTAAAGATTTGCAGAAAATTTATATGAAGTTATTATGATGTGCCAATATGAAAATGAAAAATAAATATTTAAAAGTTAAAGATATTTAAAAAATAACAATAATAAATAATAAGCTATTATAATCACGCAGCTTTTTTTATTTTGTTGGTTGAGAGATTTGATTATTAGTTTAAGAAATCTTGGATAGTGCATATAAGGTGTATGTGAATTTGTCTTAATTAGCTAAAAAATCTTAAAAGGAAAAACTTATATGATCCGTTTAAAAAAATTTCAGAAGCAGGTAGTTTTAGACATATTTATTTACATTTAGTAAATTCATTTTCTATTTTTTTTTTTATTTGTTGCAGGCTAGAAACTTTACAATGGTAGAGTGAGAGTGAAAGAGTTTTGCCTCCTAACTTTGCATGAATATTTAACACAATCAGATTTAAAAAAAAAAATGCTAGAGATTTTTTTTTACATAAAAAACTTGAAAAAAGAAAAACCACGAGATCTTGTCAAATTGAAAAAATCTCGCTATGCATGTGAGAGTTATAAATATTAGCTTTTCTGGGAGATGGTGATATTACAAGAGTTCAAAAAATGCAAGGAAATAGTGGCATAGTCCTGCCTAGACATCATGCAATAGTCAATTGGCAAAGGTTCGATGACAACGATAAAGCAGCGGTTGGTCTGTGAAAGTACGATTGCTGTCTGATAACTGCTGGTTTGGTGGAGGCGTCAGACAGAGAGGTCTAGCAACGATCTGTTGGGCGGAGGTTCAATGACGATTGACTAGATATCTGATATATAATTTTTCATTAAACATCAGTGTATTTATACTTATTTATATATAATCCTTCTACTTTAATTATGAGAAAAAAATGATTCTTTTATCTTCAATATAATAAATTAATGTAATTAGCCGTCCCTCTTATTTTTTTTAATTCTTGAATTTTTCATATATAAAAAATTTTGATCTCTTACATTTTTTTGCATATGTTAAATTTTTATTTCAAAACTAAAATAACAAACATACACTCAATCAATGTAAATTTTTAATAATATTATAAATTAAAAAAAAAAAAATCTTGAATAAACCATAACTTCAGAAGCTTCTAGCCTCTTCCATGATCATTGGTCACATTCACAAGTGAATAATAAGGAGAAATAGAATTATAGTTGCATTACTACAATTTAATAATACTAAATAAATAAATTCTAATAAAACCAAATAATTTATCATACAATGAATGAAATTCTCTCTTATTTACTTAATTTCAATTATCTTATTTTAATTAGATCACTGAATTTGATAATTATATGAGATGTTTACAGAGAATCTAAATATGCCTTATCACTTATGATATAACCAACTTTTTAAAATTACACTAATACCAATGGCAGTGAAAATGGTGTAAATTTTATTTTTGTCATATTAATTTTCTTTATTTTAATTTGGATTGCCTCTTTTTTCATTGTTAGTCTGAAATTGTTAAAATTGCACAGCTCACCTTCTCAGTCTCACCCAACTAAGAAAAAAACTATAAGAATATATTTGATTATTAAAAAAAAATGATTTCTATAAAAAAAGTGATGTCATACGGATTTCCCAATGAACTTTATTTATTACGGCCGATATCATGATTGTTATCGACCTTTACTTATTCATCAACTGTACGGGAAGATGACATGCTAAGTGGATTAAAGGAAAGCGTGACACGTGGCACTTTATTTCGTTAGGGTTGTATTTGATGAATTTTAATATTTTAATTAATGATTAATTAAATTTAAATTTAATTTGAGATAACTTTCTTACTGCTTTATTTTTCACACATATATTTGATCATTATTTTTTTGTTGATTTTATTTTTTTTTGCTTATTTCCTTAAAGCTATTTTTTTTATAGTAGCTTTTTAAAAAAAAAAATATTTTCTCCACAAATTTTATAATTATTTTTATAAAAAGTTGCAATCTTTCCATATGAATCTTGAAAGAAAATTTTAAAAATTTTGATTCGATAATAATTGACTTTAATAATGAAATTGATTGATTTTAGTTAAATGAGCATATATTAGAAAGAATACCAAATAATTTCATTATAATTTATAATTTTAGCAAGTGAATTAATAATATCATTGATGATCTTTATATTATTTTTATTTCATGATTGGATTAATTTAATATTTAAAAAATGAATATTGATTTTGCAAAATAAAAAAATTCATTAAAAAGTCAAAATTATAATCAATAAGATTAAAAATCTTGATGCATTCTTATAAGAATTTTGATCAGAGTTTTCTCAAATGAACTTTTTCTATTTAGTTTTTAAGGAAATCAGGAATTAGATTTAATTAGAAATATTTCAATAGAGTATTGTATAGTTTAATAGGTAAATATTAAATATATATAATAAATAGCAAAAACGAGTTAAATGATATTGATAGTTGACTCCGAAGTCTAAAATGACATTTTTTAATAGGTAAATTTTCAAAATGGTCCCCTGACTATTTGAAATTTTACAAAATGGATTCAAAAGTATAATTTTGAGTAAATTTAAAATTAATTTTGTGAAGTCAAGAGATTAAATTAGGATCAGTTTTATATCATAATTATAATATAAATTATTTTGAATAAATTTTATATAATTGAGATATCAAATTAGAATAATATAATACCCTGCGGCTAAATGGACTATACTCGAATTGTTTGGAGATTCTTTTTTGAGTTTTTTTTTTTATTATTAGTTTTTTAACTTCACACCACTTATAATTGGATGGAAATTTAAATATATAATTTCTATTTTCTGCCGACGCGTTCGGAGTCGCTCCTACTCTACCCGGATCCGGATCCGGATCGAAATAACTTGCACGGGATTTCGAGGCAGAACTTCTGCACTCTAAAAAGAAACCATAAAATTTGACTACTTACTTACCAGGACATAAAATTTGGCCAGTTGCCTGTGCATGTTGCAGTGCAGGTGGATGATTCATTCTAAAAGATCGAGACGATCTTCTTCCGTCGTCTCTCTCGCCTCTCTACTGTTTTTCCTCTGTCAAATTCGACTCTTTCTCTCTCAATCTCTTTCTCAGTTTGTTCCCAACTCTCTCTCCCCCTCTCTCTCTATCTCGCACACACATACACATACTCAGTTTGTTCCCAAATCGACTGAGGATGTTTCTGGAAGGAAGCAATGGGAGAGGGATGTCATCGCCCAGTATCGATTCGGTTTCGTCGGTGAGAGATGTCACTTACAGGTATTCTTGTTTTCCTATTCCGCGTTTCTAAAGTGTTTTTTTGTTTTTGTTTTTGTTTTTACTTCGATCGATGAGCTCTTATCACTGCAACATCCTCTTCCTCTTAGAGATAGGCATAAATCCCTAATCCCTGTGATTGTTTTGCTGATGGGATACTTTACTCCTTTTGAATAATAATTGACTTTTTTGCTTTAACTTCCGTCTAGGTTGAGTACGTGTTTAGTTTGAGCTAGGAGTTTAGTAGCAAATCAGAGAAATCGGAGCTTAGTTTAGTTTAGTAGGTTTTAGGAGCTGTTTGATCTGTAAATTTAAACAGGATTTAAGCAAGGTTTAGCTTAAATCCTGCCAAACAGAATAATTGGAACTTTAAATTCTACTGTTTCGATAAATCCTGTTTCAGCCTCATTATTGATTAAATTCAAGATTTCTTAAATTCCATTGCACATAGGATTTAACGGATTTAACGATTTCTCTTCTCAGAAATCTTAAATCTTGAAACAAATTGGCAAACAATTTATCGGGATTCAACAAGTCAAGTCAAACACTTTTGAGGTTTTAATCTTTTCAAGACTTATTGAATCTGGATTTGCAGGAATTACAAAATCCTGTTTGGCAGCCAAACAGTCCCTCGAGTTTTAGCTCAATAGAAGGAAAAAAGATGTAGCCTTTAAAATAAAGCTATTATTTTCCCAACGTACTCAACTTAAGCAATCTTCAACCCATCCTTCTCACGATGTTTAATACTATATTTTAATGAGTAGAAAATTAAAAAAATTCAATCAATGTTGACATTGTAAAAAATTTGTGCATGGATATCCTAATATAATTTGCATTGAGATGGACTTAAGACCTGTTGATTTTGTATGAAGATTAGTGCTATTGATGATAACATATATAAAAGTATTAATCTCAGTGTAAATATAAGAGCTCTTAAGCCCTTCCTGATGTAAATTACGTTAGGGTATCCATACATACTTTTTTGTTGGCATTATTTATGGTGGGTTGAATAAGCTTTTTTTTTTTCTTAAAATAAATCTGTACTTATCGCACTTCTGACAATTTTTGGGATTATTTGTATAGAACATTAGAACTCCCAAAAGTTTGATCTTTATGTGATAAAAAAAACATAATTTTTAAAGTTAGGTGATAGGAAACTCTTGTAGGAACAAGAGTTTTCCTTGCTGAATTTGAATGTCAGCACTTGCAAAAAAAGATTGGAGAAGAATTTGGAAGAAATAACTAGAAATAAACCTTTTTAATTGATAAAAGATGAAAGAAAACGAACAAGATACCCTTGATCCTTAATTGGAGAGGAGGATCCGTCTCTCCAAATATCTAGCCGGCGGCTAGAACCCAACAAACCCTAGGAACTCTCCAAAATTCAGCAAACATCAAGATAATCCTAACCCTAGACAATCTCATCTATTTAAAACATACAAATACAGCTTTGATTTACTAAACAACCATTCCCTAAATCAAGACCTGCGTAATCCGCCTCCTCCTCTTCAAGTAATGGGCCCCACAAGGGGGCCGGCGACTAGCTTGGCTGCCTAGAGTAAACAAGTCCTCCTTGGGCCGGTCCCACTGGTCTATCATTAGGTTAACATGTATAGTAGTTACCCTAGGTTTAGGCTTTGTTATAAAACCCTGCAATATTAACAAGGTTGATTATATATCAAACTTCAATAGTAATCATAGTTTTGAGGATTTAAAGGTTTAGGGTTCAATAATAATTAAAAGCAATTACTAGAGTTGAAACTTAGCATATATTTCGATGTCATGGTTTTACGAATGCCCTTGTAATTATGCATATATATAAAGATTAGTCGTCCTTATTTGCAAAATAGTGTAAGGTTATTGTCTTGTTTATAAAGTTTTAAACAGTTATAATTTTTCAAAAAAAAAAAAAAAAAACTGTAGGGAGTTTTATACCTATAACCCCACTTATAATTGTTGCCTTGATGAATTTTAAGAAATGCCTTGTTATTAAATTTTTGAAAATTCTAATGCAGTTGATGAATTCACAGCTGTGGTTCTTGTGGCTACTCATTAAATTTGAACTCCTCTTTACGGAATACAAACAATATTGGATTGAAGTACAGAAAGATCATCAAGAAGGGGATTGTATCATTCTATTCGATTGATGAGAGCAGGTTCTCTCAGACAGATGAGGTTAGTTGTCTTCCATACTTCAATTCAATCAATTCATGGGGGTTTTTCAGGCATCGAACAAAGCTCAGATGCAGGAAGTGTGGAAGCTACATTGGTATTGCTTATGAGGAAACTTTCCCTTTGCCTTCATTGGGATCTGATTACTGTGATACAAGCTCGGGCAATGGTGCCGGGTGTTCAAAAAAGTATAAGATCAGAATCAGCTCACTTCAACCATCCTCTGAAGAGTCAGGTACCTCTTTTACCAGGAAATGATGTTGTTGTGAGAGTCTGGTTCTGCTAAAGTTGAAGTTGTGTTATTATTTGTGTTGTGAGCAATGAGAAGCTTCTTGGCTGATGATGATGTACACAAATCTGTTCATCATGGACATGGTTGGAAAATCTGTAAGGGTTTTTGTTTCTGTACTTTATTTTATAGTGACACATACATATTATTTGTTAAGAAGGTTGTCTGCATAATTCATCTATTTTACTTCTATAAAAATCCATTTTTTGTCATGGATTCTCAAGTGATACAAAAATGATCTCTTTCTAGTCTATTCTAATTCGGCCCATCGAATTTGCATGCCAACCGATATTTCATGGTCTGGCATTCACATCTAAGGGTGTGCAGGGGCGGATCCACCTTAAGCCTAGAGGGACAATTGCCCCCTAAAAAAAAAATCTTTATTATATTATTCCTTAGATAATTTATCTCCTTCCATCTATTTTTTAGTCTTTATTACAATAATTTTTAGGCAATTGTCCCTCCTAAAAGTTTTAAAATATTATGGTCTTCAGGCAATTGCCCCTAGCATAATTAAACACATTGTTAAACACATTGTGTAGAGGTGTTATTGTTAGAGAACAATGAACCAAATACAAAAAGAAATAGTAAAAAGAATCCAAAAAAATCCTTACAACCAAAATTTGTTTCGGACAAGTCGCTCCCCGCCAGGGAGCGTTGCTCCTTTGGGCCCTCGCATATCTTCGAAGCGTACAATGATCAAGGATATGGACAAATAAGGGTCGAGCCAAATTCTACACTTTTACTTATAAGTTTGCCCCCCCCCGAAAATTAAGGCTGATTCCGCCCTTGAGGGTGTGCGATTTAAGCATGCTGAATTTTGCATTAGTAGCACATCTGTATGGAGTTTAGTATTTGTATATGCCAACCCATTTGTCAGTTCCAGTTCAACTGTTACACATCGCTAGAGGTACTTTGTTTGCCGCGGTTAATTATTGTCAACAGTACCCAAGAAAAGAAAGCGAATAGTGTTCTTCTCAAATAGTTCACTTTCTTGTTTGGAGAAAGCAATTATGTGAGGCACTAATAATATGCAATTATATAATCATCATTAATCTTGTCTTTGAGTATTTGGGGTTAGTTTTATGAATTCTTATTTTTCATTCATTTTTGTTGAGTGTTTTTGAGATTTTAAAAATAATCTTCATAAATCATTTTGTTAATGTCTATTCATGTTAATTTAGGCTTACCTTTTTTTCCTTTTTTATCTCACTAATTTTATCAACTCATATTTATGTTAAAATTTTCATTTTTTTGTTGCTTATGTCTTGTTGTGTGCATTAATATTTTTGAAGATAGAGATATATAAAGTTTAACATCTCAACTTTGCACGAATATCCAACACATAGATAATAGAGGGTCGTAAGAATTGTTAGAGAGAACATATTTTTTATGTGAAAAAATCATGAAAGTGAAAAATCATAGGGTTTGAACTAGTTAAAATGATTTCACATATATTTATATTTGGTTATAAGTGAAGCTTTTCATCGGGTGCAGGTATTAATAAAATATATATTACATTATTGAAGTTGGGAGATCCCTTTGGTAGGGATCTAGTATAAATTCGGGCGTTGAAGTTGGGAGTTAGAGTTGATATCGATGACGTACATTGATATCCTATGTGATGACATTTGCTGGCTTTGTTAACGATGGTTGATGATGAAGTCGGTAGACTTTAGATAGTCATACAACATTGGTTAGGAGACAATAAGTTGATGGGCCAAAGGCAGGCAACAATGGTCGGAGGGCCGTAATTAGCATGTGACAGAGGTCAGAGGATTATAGTGGGTGGGCAATAGAGGTCAGAAGGATCGTAGTCAGGTAATGATAAATGAAACACCATATTCGAGTGTTAATGATTCAAGAATTATTATTAACTGGCAACAGAGGTTGAAAGGACCGTAGTTGATGAGTGATGGAGGTCGAAGGATAGTAGTCTACAAACGACGTAGGTTAGAAGGATCATAGTTGGCAGATGGAAGAGATCAAAATGATCATGGTCAGTGGGTGTGGAGGTCAGGAAAAATGTATTGAGCCACGATGGTCAAAGGATATAGTGGTCGAATGATCGCAGTCAGTGGGCTATGAATGTTAGAGGGTTGTAGTTAGCAGGTGATCGAGGTACGAGGACTGTAGTTGGCAGCGATAAAGATCGGAAGGATCGTAGTCGGGCGGTGATGTTTGCAGGATTGTAGTTAGGCGATGGTGTTTGATAGAACTGTAGTCGAGTGATGGTGTTGGAGAATTGTATTCGGGTGACGATTATCTGATGATCGTAGTTGGTGGGAGACGTAGATCGAAGAACTATAATTGGTGGACAACCAAGGTAAGAGGGCCGTAGTGGTTCAAGGATCATAGTCATCAAGCGACGAAGGTAAATAAGATTGTAGTTGGGTAATTGTGATTTGAGGACCATTGTTGGCGGGTGATGGATGTCAGAATGACTATAGTTGGGTGAAGGTGGTTTGACGATCATAATCTAATGATAGTGGTCGAAGGATTGTAGTAGGGCGATGGTGGTATGGGGGTTGTAGTTGGTGGGGGATGCTGGTGAGAAGGATTGTAGTCAACCGATGGTGGTCCGATGACCATAATTGCACATGAGTGGTCAAAGGATCATAGTTGGACAATAATGGTATGAGGATCATACTCAATGGATGATGTTAGTTAGAAGAATTGCAATTACGTGACAGTGGTTAGAGGGTCACAGTCGGATGGCAATGGTAAGATTATTGCAGTTGGGCGGTGTTAGTCAGAGGACTATAGTCAACAAGAAATGAAGGTTGAAAGAAATATAGTTGGTGGGCAACGAATGTTGGAAGGTCCCTATCCAGGTGACGGTGTCGAAAGGTTGTAGTCGATGAGAGATGGATGTCAAAAGGATCATAATAGTCAGATGACAGTGGTTGGAGGATCGTAGTCAGGCGATAGTGATCCGAGGATCATAGTTGGGCGACGATAGTTGGGGTATTGTAGTCGGCGGGCGATGGAGACAAAAAAAGATCATAATTGGGTAATTATGGTAAGAGGGCTATAGTCTAGAGATAGAGTTTGAAGGATCATAGTCGGGCAACAGAGGTTAAAGGACCGCAGTTGAGCGGCGGCGGTTTGAGGATTATAATCGAGCAATGAGGGTTAGAAGGATAGTAGTCAGCGGGTGATGAATGTCTAAAAGACCGTAATTGTGAAACCTCTTAAGCAAAAGAAGTTAAACTCGTAAACATCTAGGCACCTTTTGGTGTAATGGTTGGAATTTCATTTAAAAAACTCCGCATTTAAGCATGCTCATCCCAGAGAAATTCTGGGATTGGTGACCTCTTAAGAAGTTACATAAAAAAGACAAAATAGTGAGGTACTTAGGCTAAAGTAGGTAATATCTCGATAGTTAAGAGTTTAGGCTATTACAAATGATATCAAAGCAATACACTAACCAAAAGATGAGAACTAAGTGTCGTACAAGGTAAAGTGCTACGCCATAGGAGTCACCTCTTAAACCCTATATGGAACAAAGTGCTACGTGACGGGAGTCACCCCACTTTGGGATCACCTTTAGAATCCTATTTGTTTGGTGGATGATTATGAGATAAAGATGCCAACGAGAATGTCAGTTACATAAGTGGGGGAGATTGTGAAACTCCTTAAGTAAAGCAAGCTAAAGTTTTAAACATCGAGACGACTTTTGTTGTAATGATTAAAATTTTATTTAAGAAACTCTGTAATTAAGTATACTCATCTCAAAAAAATTTTAGGATGAGTGACATACTGGAAGTTACATCAATAGGACAAAATCGTGAGACCCTTAATCCAAAACTGATAATATCTCGATAGTTAAGAGTTTTATTTTGATCCAATCAAATAATTTTTTTCTAGAGTCATAATTCCAAATCACAAATCGTTCTCATCATAACATAGATATTATAGCGTTTTAATTTTACTAATTTTTTCATAATTTTTGGGCACTGGTACAAATCCTTAAGAAATTGACATATGTCGGTACATGTGAGGATTTTGGTATCATCAGATGTCTGTTTTTCGAATCGATTTTACTAAAAAATTTTAAATAAAATGTGTTATTTTATGATATTTTTCTATAATTTTGAAGCCCCAAAATGATTTATATGAATTTTATACTAAAAATTGATTATATTATATTATATTTTTATTTTATTCTTTAATATCTAATTCCATTACATGAATTTATTAAATCCCTTTCTTGACTAATAAAAAACTCTAAGGAGGAATTAGAGGGAAAAGAGAGGAGAGAGAAAAAGGAAAATTAGAAGTGGAGGTCATAAAACAATTTTTGTCCGTGCGATTTTCATCCATCGTTCATGTTGGTAGATTTGCTCGTCCCATTGGTAGAAACTTTTATAATATTTCTGATTTCAATAATTTTGTATTTTTGATATTTTTCAATTAAATTTTGTATTTAGAGATATCAAAAATTAACATAACCGAAAAATCCGACTAGAACCCGTTTCAAATTTCTTGAGTTAGGGTCAACCCGTTTTAAGAAAGATTCGGGTTCGGGTCTCAATTTTCAACCCGTTTCAAATTTTGGGTCGGGTTCGGGTCAACCCGAAAACCTGGGTTCATTTTAATTATTAGTCTTAGGGCCTCGCTCGCCCGCTGCCTCGCCGAATTGATGCACCTCAGGTGTAAGACACATGCCTCATTTTCATGCCGGAAGACAGCTGATTCTCCCTCCTTCCTTCCTCTCTAGTTCGAACGGACAGAGCACACCACTGTCATTTCTCTCGTGCTTATATCTCCCTTATCCGACCCTTCAAAGCTTCAACACCTATCGAATAGTCGGCCTTACTGTTGCTGCTACTTAGCCCAACCATTCCTCCTCCTGTCCTTTTCCTCACTATAGCATGCAACAACTTTACAATCGACCCTGACCTCCCACCTGCTACCCATCTTCCTATTTGCTTCCCTAGTTACCTGTCGTCAGCCTCCAGGCTGAGCTCCTTCAAGCCTGTCACCCTCTTTCAGCAGCAGTCATAGATCACGTACATATTCAGCCACCGATGCCACACGCAGTCTAACTCGCAACTCGTTTTAAATTAACGGATCGGGTCGGGTTGGGTCAACCCAAAAATCAGGCAAGTCGGGTCCGAGTTGTAATTTCTGACCCGTTTGCAAAAATGGATCTAGTTCAGGTTAGGTCAAATAGCAACGGGTCAATATCGGGTTTGACTTGAACCTGACCAACAACCCATTTTTGACACCCTGTTAGGCTATTAGTATTTTTGTTACTGAAAAATTTAAATAAATTTATATTGACAAAATTTTCACTGCGTAACTTTTTTTTATATTATAGAGATAGATTATGAATATTTATTTGAGATTTTGGCCAAGTGATTTTAAAAAATCAGCAATTTTTATCTATTCAAAAATTTATTTTGACATTTAAAAATAGTTCTTTAGTTAAATTAAAATTTTAGAATGTTGTTTTATACAATCTATGTTAATTTTATTAATTTTTGAAAATATAAATTTTTACTCAATAGGATTTTTTGTTGCCTTTGTTAGGACTTTTTGACATTTTCTGAAATAAGCATAATTATGCTTTATATTTTACAAATCATTGTAAATGATTATCGATGATAATAAGTGTGTGAGGGAAAACAAGTAAATATTAGTTATTCATTGATGTTGGCTTGACCTGTAAATAATAGTGGGCTGACGGGCTTTTTTTTAAATATTATGATTGGGTGTTATCATTTACTGATTCACGTGATATAATAATTGAGAGTTATAAGGAGTTATTACTATGCTGACAAGCAAAAAGTGACGTCTCTATTTTCGTCACTCTGTTTACTATAATTGACAACGATGGTTTGGTGGTAGTGCTTAGATGGTGCTTTGGGGTTCATAGAGCCTCTTAGCTATGTTGAATCTCAAGCCTAGCTTAAAGTCTAAGCTTCTCCCTCCCTCGCACATGTAGAGAGTATGTGATTATTTATAGATTTTTGAGAGTAGCACACCCATAAATATGAAGAAAATCTAAAACACTCCATCATACAAGTAATATTGGCCTTGTCGAATTCGTCTCGTTGAGCCGCTCAATTCAACTATAAGCATGCTATATTTGGGGATCATTTGATCATCCAATTAATATCCTGAAATTTTCAATTATGCATGGCGCCCTTTATTGGGCATTCAGGCTAAATGTTTAATTTGATTATAAATTTAATAAATTTGGTTGAAATCAACTTAAAATTAAATATTATTACACCAGCTTGAACTTAATTAGAATCAAAACCAAACACAAAATTTCTTAAATTGACTTGTTTTTATATCACATTTACTCTTAATGAAAGCTTAAGATTAAGGTTGCATTTGGAAAAATGTTTTTACTATTTTTGGGGTAAAATATAGTCCTTAAAATAATTCGTTTTTTCATCGGTATTTCAAATTTTGGACTTTGAAAAGCAATTTTCGAAAAAAAAAAAAAAAACTTATAACGGTCTTAAATGGCTAAATCCCAATAAAGAAATAATCATAGGATGCCATAATAAAAGCGTATATTACAAAACCCATCATAATTTAACCTTCAATTGAAACAGTTTTTTTATTATTTTTTAAAATAATATTTTAGTATAAAAAAGTTTTAACTGAAATTTAAAAAAAAAAAAAGTCCTAAACTAAACCTTAGCTGCTGCATTAATAAGAGTTTTTACAATTAGTACAATACTCAGAAATGTAATTAGTATAAACGAGGCACATATATCACTATCCACAAGCGCCACAATTCATAGTAATTAGTATAAATGCAATAAAAAATACTAAGGTCCTTTTTATGTGGACATTTAGATCAATTAAGACAAATTCATACACACATGGCATTCACAAAATTCGAACTTAAGAGTTAAGACATCTTAGTTGATAGCTTAAGCTCACAATTGATCAAAATGAGTTGTGTTCTAAGGCTATTATGACCGGAGAGCAGCAAAAGCTTTACTATGTCATGCAATTGCAATGTTAGCATGAAAGGTGTCTTTGGATTGACGAATTATTACGTCCGGTCATCGGATGTTTGGATATCCAATCTAGACGCGTCATGTCACCCAAATACACTTGACCTGGGGTATTTTGGTGATGTGACGCGTCTGGATTAATGTCCGGATTCGTCCGGACACCTGACATAATAATTTGCCCTTTGGATCAGCTCACAAACCCAAAGTTTCAACTTCTCAACATTTCAAAATAGCATAACGTAATTAAAGTCCCTATTAGACCGACCTTACTAGCCCAGTTGCCCTTGTACTGCCATGCATAGTTGAAATTCAACATCTTAAGTAAAATTGATATATGTAAACCACAATAACAATAATAAGTTTTTATCCCTTAGAGATTGGCTACATGAATTTTTTTTTTCCCATTGTATTCTATTAAGAATTAAATTCTCTTTCAAATCTAATAAAAAAAAAATTTAAAACTTTTTAATCATATATATTTTTAGATCTGCCTCTATTTTCTCAATATAAGATGGATCTAATACATCTATTCTTCTAATTTGGTCATCAAAAAACTGATGTTTTATGTTATCTAACAATCTAAGAAGACCCAGAAATTGATATATATAGGCAATGTCAAAATTAGGATTTCAAATGTCAGGATAAATAGATTTAGGAAATTTTTTGAGGGGGAAAATTTTTTATGTTATACACAAAATTTTCTCAAATCTAAGAAGGATGAGAGCCACTCCACATTGCATGGTTACACCATTGTTTGGGAGTGAGTAAGCATTCAATAGGTGTTGTACTAAACAAAGAGAAATGTATTAAACAGATAAGAGGGTGAAATACAAATGGTGATACAGAATATCACTAATTCTCTCTCTAGTATTACCTCCCTCTCCAAATCTCTAGTTACTCATTTGCATAACATGGCATTTTTTGTTATTGGCATTTACAAGAGTCTAAAGATCGAGAGATTATTCTGTGCAGACACCAAAAGATGAGAACCGTTCGATTTTGTCTCTGTGACAATAAAAATGCAGCATGAACAGTAAAAGTATAGTTCTGTTCACAGAGACAAATTAGACAATTCTTCCCATCCAATGTCCACAGAGAATAATTTCTTCTAACGATCACATCTAAAAGAACATGGCTATCCGCCTGTTGACGTGATCATTGATGTTTAGCCACTTATTCTAAAGGTCATACGTAATGACTGTATTTAAAATAATAATAATAATAATAATAATGACTCCATTTGTGTGTAGTGTTTCAACACTCAACATCTAAAAAAAAAAAAAAAAAAAAAAAAAAAACAACACTGACATTTATAAAAAAAACAAGAATAACAACACTGACATTTATTAAGCAAAAGAGATTAAACCATGAGAAATTTTTTTTATGCTAGAAATGTTCATGAGAAGATACACCGTCTTAACACAAAAAATATTCAAACAGACAAATAACTAAGAGATTTAGCTATTTTCAGAAGAAAAAAAAAAGGAAAGTCAAAAGATTTTTTATATGAAATCAGTAGAAAGAAGAAAATCATAATAACTACAAAGCCGAAGGATTTCAAACTAAGTGCAAACTAAAGTAATAAGGTCAAGCATGCACCTGAATAATCTGATGTGAACTTTGCTGGATACCAAACGGAAGAAACACCATTAACATTTAAGAAACGATAAGCATTTGAATTTATCAATATTCATGAATCTCTACTTGAATATTATCTTATTTACAAGGATGAGATAATTATGAGATAAAGTTCTAGCAATTTACTAAAATTACATCAATAGAACCTGTTTGCCTTTTACTTTGTCTCCTAAAGCAGCAGATTTGCAAATTGGGCATGCATTCTTAATAAGAAGCCATTTCTTGATGCATCTGGAATGGAAATCATGTCTGCAATTCAGCCTCCCAATGCTCTGCCCCTCCTTGTATTCTTCCTACCATAAGTTTAAAGAACAAATTAAATTAGAAGAATGAAAAACAAATTCTTAAAGTAACAGTGTAATAATAGCTCTCACTAGGCAAATCACACAGCTCCCTTCATCTACATCTTGGATCACGCCAGAAGAGTATATCGCACTTGTCAAACACTTGGCCATATCACCTCCAGAGAGGCCAGTACTTACATTTCCAATTCTTTCACCTAAATCAACTAGTTCCTGAATCAAACAGAAGATGCTTAGCCAAGAATCATAAATATTTAGAAGTTCCATAAGGAGATGCTCACTAACCTCATAGCTCATGTTGTCTATATCCATTCTCATGTTTCGATGCTGATCAAGCATAGTATGATGGTCATTAAATATTGATCTATCGATCATCATTGCACTCTGCAAGCCCAAGTTAAAGACGCACGGCATCACGAGGAAAGAAAAAAGAAAAAATTTCTGTGCGAGCAAAAAAAAGCTGGAATGAACATTTTTCAACACCTACATAAATTTGAATGGCTAGCCTGAATCTAGATGGTCTTTCACTGGTAATCATTGAGCTTAAATTAAAAACAAAAAATCTCACAAAATGAAGTGCAATGTAAGTAGGGGTGTCAATTTCGGGGTCACAGGTTGGGTTCGCGTCGAACCCGAAACTGACCCGGCACTATTCAGGTCAACCCAAACCCGACCTGCTTCGGGTTGACCGGGTACGGGTCAACCCGACACGAGCCGAATGACTCAGGATGGACTAAAAATTGCTAGTTTTCAGGTTAAAAAAAACGGGTCAATCTCGGGTTTTCGGGTCAAAATGGGTCAATTTCGGGTTACTTGGTCAACTTGAACCCAACCCGATTTTTTAAACAGGTCGATTTGCTGAATCCGACCCGTTTCGAGTCAGGGTTGACCCTAACCCGGAATTTTTGGATTGGGTTCGAGTCGGGTTTTCGGGTCGGATCAAATATTGACACCCCTACATGTAAGCCTGTGAATTTGACTAGAAAATCCAAGATAGCTCAAATATCAAATCAATTTTTGGCTCGAATGAAATTTATAAGCATATATGTACGAGTATGTATACATATATTTATGTTTCCATATATGTGCATGAGTGTTTGCATGTAGGTTAAAGCTTTTAATTTGGCTTGAAATATCAAAATTCTTTTGAAGGAACTCTATCCAATAAAGGAAGATCACCTCATCATTCCAGCTACCATGAGCACGTTCCTCATTCGCAAGAGCGTTCATTCTATAGCTTAAACTATCATAAGAATTTCTCGTCCGTCCATATCTTTCGCTACTCTGCCCAAGTATTGATGATTTCCTGTGATGTCTCAAATGAGGCAAAACTTCATTTCCAAACTGTCTAGCATCCCCCACTGTCCCTGGCAATCCCACAGTAGTATAGCTTGAAGAGGAACTGTAAGGATTTAGTCTGTGCCCATAGTTAATGTCATCTTGCATTGGAATAACAGCAAGGGTTGGCACTAAAGTGGCTCTATGCCGACTCAAAACTATATTTGAGGAAAATCCTTCAGCAATTTCCATATCGGCGTCAGCCCCGCTGCTCGCAATGGGCTGGTTCATTTCATGATGGAAGAAACCTATGGCCCAAATTCAGAAAGATGAAAAGATAATTCACACCACCAAACCAACCATAAATAAATGAAATAAAATATTACCTACCTGAAGATAGAAACCTTCTGCCATAATCCAAGGGCATGGCTGCATCACCTGAAGTGCTTGTAGTTTGATGAAAGTGATGAGACAGGCTGCTTGATGCATGAGGACCAATCAAGTTATTTTCCATATGAAGGGAAAGGCCATGCCGGCTTCTAACATTTCTATGACATCCGGATCCTTCATCAATAGTTAAGGGTCTGTTGCTTGTGTATCCAGGAGGCAAGCAGATTGAATTATGGGGCAAGGAATGAGGCCCTAAGATTGGGTTTGGCATATATTGATCAGATGAAATTGAAACTCCATTTGAGCTTCTAGCACTGTAATATTCATCTGAGTTTCTTCCATCAAGAGCCATGGGATGCGAAAAGGATTTTCTTTTAAAATACGCCCTTTCATAGTCTGCTTCAGAGTTGCTGGCATTAGTTGAGACTCTAATTTCAAGCTGATTATCGTAAGATCCACCATTTGTATTAATATGAGGAATTATACAAGATCTGTTGACAGAAGAGTGGTGTATATGGGGATCACATGATAGTCCTGTATTAGCTGCTCTGTAGTTCACCAAATCGGAATTGGAACTTGATGAGAAATTTGTGTTAGAGTTTAGGGTATGATAAGCCATGGAACTTGATGCACTGCCTACTGCTTTATTTTCTTCAGCGAGGATAAAAATGCAATTGCCTACAAAGAAATATTGGTTTGGAGTTTATCAAACTTCTTAGAAGAAAATGCAGAAAATACAATTAGTTAAGAAAATAATAATAATATCAGACAGAAATTACCCAAATTTAAGCAAGGATCAGGGAGTCTATGGCTCCATACATTGTCACGATTCATCTCCAAAATCTCAGAGGAATCAATTAAGTGTCTTTGTATTACAACAGTCAATGGTTTTTACTAAACCGAACTGCACAAAACAGGAAATACAGATTGTTACAACATCAAAATGGTATTTCTGATTGATTGCAAAGTTAGGAAATATAGGAAAAAGCGCTTTGATAATTAAGATATAGCAACTTACATTGGACAAGGTGCTGGCAATATTAAGCATCGAGGAATACAGCATCATAAACTGACTATGCATGGATTAACAACAAAGGATAATAAAGCATCTAAGACATAAAGAGTGCAATGTTCTGAATTTATAACAGAATGTGAGCCCAAGATGGTTTTGCTAATGAAAACCTTAACCAGTTTGAGTTCTAAAGAGAGCCAACCTTGTGTCCCGGTTAATTTTCTTCCCATCAACTCTGCAATACAAGACCTCAATCATGACCTTGTACTACCCTTTTATACCCCTTTGGTATTCTTCTTGTCAAAAGTACAGTTTTGTAAATGGCTCATTGATGAAAGATTTGTGTCGGAGGCAAGCTTTACAAGTTTCATAGCCGAATGTTCAAAGCTGATGTTTATCCTCTACCTGAGCTAATTCCTATGTTATTGAATCCTCAGAAGCTAAGTCACACATCTTAACGATGAATCTATGACGGAAAAAAGAAAAGCAATGATTGCACAAAAACCCTCAACTTGACTTGCATACCTCTCCATATAATATCTGAATTTCAATTAAATATCGTAACTGAAGGTATAATAGAAGAATGGATACAAGAACAAAGTAGAAGTATACCATATGAATATCAATATTTAAAAATACTCAACATATTGAAACATGTAAGCTGCAAACCTCACAATCAAAAAGAGGGTATTCCTTAAACATGCTTTCCTGGCATTGTCCTGCCCCTTGCTCTCTTTATAGTAAAGGAAGAAAATGATTTATTTAAAGGAGCATCAAACTAAAATTAGGAGGATGAAGACAGGCAGTGGCCATAAAAATAGACTTGGCAAACGAATGATGAACCCATAACCTTTCACCAATGAGTTCCTTCTGGCTCTACTTACGATTCCTTTTGAATACCACACAATCAGACTCTATGACGTCCTGCACGTAATTTGTCATTAAAACATAGGATTGAATGCCCGAGTAGACTGACCAGTTGTACACTGATATCAGTGCATCCTTTCTCCTGTGCAAAACTTAAGGCCAATAAGCGTATTTGGTCGTAATGAACTTCAACAAAGTAGAGGTCAGCCGCATAAATCTACTTCGGTAATAAATTAAAAAATAAGAAGTAAAGAAAAACAATTTCTTTAACTAAGGATGTTGAATCCTTAGAATTATTTTGGATGGTCTTCAAGTATTTTTCAGAAGCTTCAAGGAATATGGATTTTGCATAAATATCGCCAAGAATCCACTTTGAGCTGATCAGAAAACAGCTAATAACAAAATCAATTTTCATACTGTAACAGTTGAAACTTCTAACACTTACACAACCTCTGCCCTCAAAAGGATTAACACCTGAAGGAACACGTTTCAAGTTTCAACTTAAAGCTTTGTTTGGGAGGGCTTTCAACTTAAAACTTTTTAATAGAGAAAAATTAATTTTTGTACTAGAAGGCTGCTTTAAGAAGCAGTAAGAAAGCCGTCCCAAACGAAGCCTAAGTTTTTCCCAGGCCAACAATGCTGCGTGAATCAAATACTCTTAGGCATTGTTATAGGTTTATGCCTGAACTGCCAAAGAAATGCTGCAGACCAAATCAGCATATATCTCACAACTCATGAATCATAACTAGCGTCAAAAGAAAAAACATAAGTTTTCATAACAACAAAACAATAAGATCATGCAAAGTGACGTGAGGAGAGAGACACAGAAGGTCCGCTCAACTGCTGCCTAATAAGCCTTCATGTATGCCAAAGATGTCACGACGCATGTTTCACTGCATGCAGTAAGATACTAGCAGCAAGAGCAAGTTGATTAGTTGACATATGCAACAAACTGAGACGGCATATTGGGTTTCCATAATTAAACAAATTCACCTCTATCAACGACAACTTCTCCATTTTATTGCATTTAATACCAAGATATCATTAGACTAGATATGTATGCAGGAGCTATTACTTGTGTTCAAACGCAAGGTGGTTTGACCAAGTATTTTCCTATTTCGGTTGGGTTACATCAAGGATCAGCCTTAAGCCCATATCTTTTTGCTTTAGTCATGGATGTTATGACTAGACATTTGCAAGAGGATGTACCTTAGTGTATGATTTTTGTTGATGATATTCTTCTTGTTGATAAAACTAGAGAGGGAGTTGAAGGTAAACTTGAATTATGGATGTCAACCTTAGAGTCTAAATGTTTTCGCTTGAGTAGATCTAAAATAGAATATATTGAGTGTAATTTTAGTAGTAATAGACCTAGTGAAGGGACTGTAACTTTGGATGATCAAGTCATTAATAAGAGTACATGTTTTAGATATCTTGGATATATTGTTCAGAGTGATGGTGAAATAGATGGGGATATTATCAGCAGAATTCAAGATGGATGGTTGAAGTGGAGAAATGCATCGGGCTTGTGTGATAAAAAAGTACCTCAAACTTAAGGGAAAATTCAATAAGATGGTGGTAAGGCCTGCAATGCTTTATGGTGTCGAATGTTGGCCATTAAAAGAGAAACATAAAACTAAGTTAAGTGTGGCAGAGATGAGGATGGTCAGGTGGATGAGTGGCTTTACCCTTAGAGATAGGATATGAAATGAGCATATACGTGAAAAGGTTGGAGTAGCTCTAATAGAAGATAAGATTAGAGAGAGTCGCCTTAGATGGTTTGGTCACATAAAACGGCAACCTTCCGATGACCCGGTTAGGAAAGTAGAGGTATTGTATTTTACTTATGTTAAGAAAGGTAGAGGCAGACCTAAAAAGACTTGGTTAGAAAATATTATAAATGATCATTCTTTATTAGATTTAAACGATAATTTGACTTTTAATAGGACACAATGGAGAAAAAGGATTCATGTAGCTGACCTCGCGTAGTGGGATAAAGATTTGATGTTATTGCTATTGTTGTAATACCAAGATATCAGACATAGCTGACATGTTAGACAATCAACAAACTCTGACACATAATGGTCACTCCGGAACGAGGCTTTAGGCAAACAGCAGGATCAGTCATAGAAAACAAGTTATCCATGCAAAAAAAATTGAGCATGTTTATATTACATATGCGTATTATAATTGTTAAACTAGACATTAATATCATTCCATGCGTTTTACTCAAGGTAGCCCTAGACCTCGTTAATAAGGTTCACTATACATCAGATGCTAATAAATGCCATGCAGAAGTGATCTATGCAGCATACTAATTGGACGTATATGTTTTGGGAGTAAGGTAGAACAATTAGGGAAAAGTATAGGTAGAAATCTCAAAAATAAATATAGAAAAATAAAAAGGGAGCTGTAGGAAGTACAAGTAGTTTCTTACATAGCATATGCGTGCACCACAGTAGATAACATGAGATAATGTATTTACCAATCATTAGATAGATCATTATTTTATAATATTGCAAACACAATACTTTACATCAACATAGGCAAGATGAGGAAAGAAAAAGCAATGAAGACCAAAAAATTACTGAACTTCAAGTGGACAAAGACAAATGAGATGAAGCTCTAAAAGGTTTAAAATAGATGATCGATAGCACAATCACTTTAAACTGTTTCAGTTATCCTTGGTAGCATACAGCTCCTCATGCTCTATGTGCGCCTGAAATTTAGCATAGTTACTAATCCAGCACAAACTAAAAAATAAATGAATCCAACAACATAAAGCAAAATGATGGTATAATCTTCAACTGAGATACCACATGTTATTTTATAAATTTAGAGATTCAATGCTATGAGTTCTAAGATTACTCTTGTTAGGGAGCTCTTAGACTCCCACTGATACTTAAGTTGCCAAAAATATAAGATCCCCTTCCAGAAAGCTATAAAAAATTTAGGTTGATGACAAAATCAGTTCTTGGACTTGAAAATCCATAAGGTGCTAATGGGGTTACAGTGCATAAAGCTCATAAAGCATACCATATGTGTAAATAACAATAGAAAGATAAGATACTACTGTAAATGAAGCGATTGTCAACTGCTCATACCAAGCTGCCTTGCCATCACCGGATCTTTTTTCATTGCATCTAATTCTAGCATAATAGCATAAATTATAGTAATTGTTTGCAAACCTAATCAGTGCAATTGATGTACAGCAACCCCCTTTAAAGCTGGTTCTTGTAGAGTATAGCAACTAGTCAGCATGAATCAGTGAAACCCATGGATTAAAAAGGCCTTTGAGGCGCACACGTCAAGGCTTGCCTTATCATGAGGCATCCAAAAACTGCCTCGAGGCTCATGCCTTACTGATCTGAGTAAGTCTTACGCCTTTTTTTATTGAGGCATATGCTTTGAAGCTAAATGCCTCGATGAGTTTGAGATGTATGCTTCAAATTATAATATAATAAGAAATTAAAAAAATTGTTATATGATATTGTGATATATCTAATATAATTTATAACATATTCTAATTTAAATTTTTTATTTTAGGATTTAGAGACAAGAAAGAGATAGGGGCTATGAGTAGGTTGCCTGAATCTTTGAGCGTGGAGGGCTATGAGTGGGGAGCGTCATGAGGGACTGAATAGTCTGGGAGAGATTGAGCGGCTGTGTGCATTTGTGAGCCAAGAATGTAAGTTTTTTAGCCCCCAAAAAGAAGAAATTTTTTCTTTGAAATATTTTATTATTTTTCTTTAAAAATTTTATTTGTATTATTTTATTTTACTTCTTTTGGGTTTCCTTTAAATATATTTTTTACTGTTTTTTTACTTCTACAATGAACTAATTTAATATGTTGATAGTTTATGACATGATTATGAACTGTTTTAAATTAAATGTGTTTTTTTTTAGGGTTACCTCTCAATAGGTCTAAAGGCTTACACTTTGCCTTGCTAAAGAAAAATGTCTAAGTGCCCCATTTCTCCTTTAAACCTTTAGAAACCTACTTAGTGGTTCTGCCAAAAATCAGT